TAATTAGTTGGGATGACTGCTCCACTTGAGTATGTAATCCAATCACCGGATAAGTAAAATGTTATAATGGGTATTTGTCTTGTATCGAATTTAGATAAGAAGTTTTTTTTTTTTTTTTTTTTTTTTTTTTTTTTTTTAATGAACAGTGAATCAAGTATAAATAGATATGTATGCAGCACTATGCTATTACCCAATAACTTAACTTAGCTTAACTTTTTGGGTAAATGAGTAAACGTCCACCCGTTATAGTTAGTATCAGAGTTAGATTAAATCCTTGATTCGGTGTCACACCAAGCGTTCGGTCCTAAAGGTGTTCAGCTGAGCCACCCGGGTAAGTAGGGTGGCCGACCGTAACAAGGGTGTTGCGAGTTCGGATGGAAAAAAATGTTACAAGGGATAATTGTCTCACATCATATCCGGATGAAAAGTGAATCGGCCCGCTACATCAGAACATTTCCATGAACGTGTTGTATCCATATTCAACATCTTGAACCCTTATATTTCATGAACACCCAAAAGTTAAAAATAATTTTTTATTATTTGGGACAGTTGGCTAACAAATTTCAAACATTTGATGAACATATTTTGGACACTTAACCAATACATCCTTCACTGAGTTAAATATAAAACAAACATAAAACAATTTTTAGACAATATTATGAGCAAACACCAATGTGTTGAACCTCTTTTTTTAGAAAGAAAATAAAAAATAAATAAATAAAAATTGATATTGTAGAAGGTTGGGAGTTCAAGATTATCCCATAACATAGGCCCCTAAATATATTTTTTAATATTAGAATAAATTCATCTTCTAAATTATATAACTGTAATATAAAAAATATAAATTAATAAAATTCTATAATTGTCTTACTTAATAAATATAGATTTATATTTATATTATTGTATCATGCTGCATCCTTGTCTTATATTTTTATTAGAATTTAAGTATTTTTGCTTCTAACTTATATAACTTTAATATTAAAAAATATAAATTAATTAAATTTTATAATTATCTTATTCAATAGATATAAATTTATATTTATATTATCATATACACGTCTTTATCTTCTTTAATTTTTCTTGAATTTGACGTGCTCATATAAATATCTGTGCTCATATAAATATCTGTATCTGTGTTCGTGTTTCTTAGTCTCTCTCCCTTACGGTCTTACCCATACAGAAACCACACACACAAATATCCACATAAAATTAGCAGCCGTCCAATTATGAGATTGAAAGTCTAAAATTAGGTGAACTAAAACAATGAATGGGCATGGACTTGACTATTGAATTTGTTGACTCTCTATTCAATCATATATAGTTGTTCGTTAACGGCTTTAAACAAAAGAAAGTTGTTATGATGAGGACACCTTTACGGTGAGCTCGCATCACAAGCATCATCATCATAAACTTGCTTTACCTATTATTATTATTATTATTTTTCCCCTGTCCAAACATTGTTGCTTTACACAAAATTTATACACATAATACATTTGTTGCTTTACACATTTTTCTTTTTTCTTTTTTCTTTTTTTTTTCTGTCCAAACATTGTTGCTTTACACAAAATTTATACACATAATACATTTGTTGCTTTACACATTTTTCTTTTTTCTTTTTTTCCTGTCCAAACATTGTTGCTTTACACAAAATTTATACACATAATACATTTGTTGCTTTACACATTTTTCTTTTCTTTTTCCTGTCCAAACATTGTTGCTTTACACAAAATTTATACACAAAATTCATTGTTGCTTTACACACAATTTCTCTCCAAAAATGCAGTTAACTTGATTAGACTCGAGAAAAAGAGATCATTTTAGGGTCCATCCTACCTGTCTTATTTCACTAGAAGCTTCTCAATATATATATGAGTAATGATAGGGGAATCGAAAAGATATCTCCAAATTAATACTGAATTTAACGTGATTGGCTATACTTATCACGTGTTAAACAATTATTTTTTAGAAACTGTTTAAGTAGATGAGGTGGACAAAAACATGTCAGATTCGGAACTTATTCGGAAAAATCATTCGGTAACCCTATCATTTTTCTATATATATATATATAACAACAGTCAATAATTTTTCCCCCTTTTCCCAACTAACTACTTATATATATATACCTTATATTTTCATTTAAGACAATATGTATTCATGGAACTCATCATAAAATTTTAACCCGACAGTCAAGCTATTTGCCGCAACCTTCCTCCTTTATTAATAAATCAAAGGTGGAGTTATATATGTAAGTAATAATATAGGGTAATAACTTATACATATGGGAGGAAGGAATTTTATCATCGGTGGGTCCATTCCAAATTGCCCCACTCTGGATTCAGCTCTCTGAGGTTAAGGCGGATCATTTATCACAAAAGGTAGGATAACGGATTGCAAACTCTTTTGGCCGATGCCTCAAAGTTGAATTGAGGGGCAAGAGTCTTGCTGAAGGAAATGAGAAAGGGATGGCAGATAGCAGGGTGCTGCGGATTAAAGTGGAGTTGGATGTGTCACAATCTCTTTGACAACATGTGGTGTTGTATAGCCCGACAAGAGAGGCTTCAGTGGCCCAAATCAGGTATGAAAAATTATCTTCTTTTTGTTATCGATGTGGTGTGATTGGGCATCACTGGAAAGTCTATCAGGTGGAAGGAGGTGCTAATCTTATGGGTTTTAAGGAGTATGGGGGTTGGCTTGGAGTCGAAGGATTTATTGGTAGGGATTTGTGGCAGAATGAGAAGGATGGGGGGGATAGTCGAGGTGATAATCTTACCAAAAAATGGCTTTACGTGGATGATGCCGATTCTGAAGGGGGGATGATGTGGGTCAATCTCCCTCATCCTCTCTAACTCGGCCTTTTCCAAAGTGGCCTGGTGACTCTCCTGGTCTGTTTAGGAGTCATATCGGTCCAAGTTCATTTGTTCCTAGACCTTCGTTGCAACCACCGGTGGTAGCTTTGTCCTATGTGGGGGATCCAAACCGGATGCCTGGGGGAGAGGGTCAGGGGGAAGGTTCTACTAGGGCTGTTGGTTTGAATTCTAGGCTGCCCTGGATCATCATGGTACAGGAGTGGTGGTGGATTTTACCCATGGGGGGACCAGTTGCCTGTTCCTGAAGGAAGGCAATTGATCGGGTCCTCCTCACAGAGTCATGTTGCTTCAATGCAGGTGGATGATGTTGATACCGTTGCTCCGGTCACGTCTCCTATTAAAAGTCGAATCTTACCTTTGGAGCGTTGGGACAAGTTGATCAAGGAAAGGCAGAAAGGCAAGGCGAAATCCTCAATAGGCAAAGGCTCATAATCTGACTCATCTGCCACTTCCAATAGTCAGGGTTCTTCACCAGCTAAGAGGGGTCAAAAAAGGCGTCAATCAATTTCCGAGGGATCTACAGGGGCTCAGATACAGGGCAATAAGAGGCGGAAGGGTATGGTGGGTGATGCTATAAGCAAGATGGCGTCGTTGAGCCCCCCTAGTAGCTTGACTGGTGTTAATTCTACTTCCTCAGGGGGTTTGGGTCTACACTTGACTGATTCCTTCAATTCTGACTCCTCCCAGTTGTTCGCTACCAAAATTGCAATGTTAATGGGTGCAGGACGGTCTCCTAATTCAGAAATTGCTTAAGCTTCGGTTCTCATGACGACGGTCATGTCTTAGCTTTTGCTTAGATTTCTTTGGAATCGTCTTGTTTGTTTTTCATATGTGGTTCTTTAAGACGGCTAGGTTTGTTTGCTTGGTGAATGGCTGTTCATGTAATGGCCTTTTGGCTTTTCTTGTCGGGACCCAAAAAAAAAAAAAAAAAAAAATTTGCCAAAAAAAATCAATATTTTTCAAATTGAGCAAATATGGTCTCAATTTGAAGATTGAAATACCTAAAATGTCCTTAAAGTAAAATAATAAAAAATTAAAACAACAGAAATTTTATTGAGGTATTTTGGAGTTTGTATTTAAAATAAAATAAAAAAAAAATGGTCAAAATTGACAACCAGTGGCAATTTGCTACAAATTTTCAAATTATTGGAATTTATATGCACATACGAGAGGGCAGAAGTAATTCTTGCACATTTTTTTATATATATAACAGGGTTTTTTTTCCAGCAATTTAATCTTATATATATATATTAAAGGGAAACAAGAATGTAGATTATATTACCCTATCATTTGAACCAAACGCAAGAGGATGAAGCTGAACAGTTGTTCCATGTTCAAAAGAATGACAGCAGGCCACAAGATTAAGAAAGCAATTGGTGCAACTTTGTGAACGGAGTTGTTTTGAGCACGATCGTTTTGTCTTTGAGCTGATTGATTAGACAAGAAATGATTCAGACAGCAGAACCAAAACACAATTTCTAACCATCACTTTCAATTCCCACATTTCAATTCCATTGCCTATGTTGACATGCCCACTCAGGTAGAGAAAGAACACAATGTAGTGAGCTGGCCCAGTTCACCCACAACCCACGCCCCTTTTGCACCCCATAAACACAGTACAAAGATCGTAAAAAAAACTCAACCATTTTCAGATATATATATAAATATATATATATATATATAAAGGTGAACAAAAACAAATCTGCCAAGAAAATGAAGAATGCCTGCATCAATGGACATTAGCGTAGATAGTATCATATATATATAAATATATATATATATATATATAGGTGAACAAAAACAAATCTGCCAAGAAAATGAAGAATGCCTGCATCAATGGACATTAGCGTAGATAGTATCATCTCTCCTTCCCGAAGAAAGAGTTCCAGAGTTTTGAGTCTGTCACACAGCAATTTTGTGGGTAGGTGCATGTTTGCTTAAACTTCCAACCAAAAAAACGAAGAAGAAATGAAGAATACTTATTATAGCCTGCAGTGGCTTTAATCGCTTCCATTCATCCTTTTCAACATAAGAGTTCCTCTTTATTGTCTTTCAAAATTTTCACTTTCCTTTCCTCTCTCCTAACATGATCACCACGACATGTATGAGAGAAAATTCTTCAACAAACCCTAGTAGGATAAAGTAGTTATCATATGGATCATGGCCTTCCGATGAGAAGGTTGAAAAACTATATAGTGTTTGTTTAACAAGGCACTGTGATTTGGGGAAAAGCTAAAATAAATACCAAATTACAGTTGTGGCAAGCATTCAATCAACCTATTTATTCATACAAATCCATTTGTAATGCACATTTACTTGAACGATGACCACACAGGACAGTTGGCCATGTTTTTCCTATTCCTTATTGTACTTGAATCTACCTTGATTTCTTACTGCGCATTCCCATCCGTGATTTCGCATATCTGAAATTCTGGTTAAGCAAAACCTTCGTGGCACAAACAAGAATATGATGAATAAAGGTCACATTAAAAACTTAACACGATGAGTGAGGACACTAATATAAAATAGGGCAATAAAGAAATGGGCTTCCAAAGGATACTCCAGCCTCATACCCTCACCAGGTGGTGATGAGTAGAGAATAGTTCCTTGAAGATGGTTTCTTGCTTCAGTTGAACAGGCAGTATCCTGCACATACAGTAGGAGCATGTCTTGGTACAAAGAAAAAACAGAATTACGGATGGCAAAGGTAAGCCTCAAGTGTCTTTCTAATAATCATCCAAACAACACAAATGAAATTTAGAAGGACAAATTTGCCTTCCCAATCTATGGAGATTGATTAAAAATACAAAAACCAGCTCCAAATGAATGGAAATCACTCTTGCTAGGTTTACTGTTTTTCATATTTGTAACATCTGTATTCTGTCGACTTGGGACGTTTTTGTTCAAAATCAATTTTCTCTTCCTTTTTCCTTTCCCCCGGAAAGTCAAGCAAGTCTAAGCGAGTTACAGTGATTCCCAACATGAGAGATTCTATTTAACTATTTGTGCAAAATCATTCAGCCCAATATATGGTGCATTTTGTGCTAATACAAATGTATTTAGCACGAATTACAGCTCTACTCATAAGACGCGTTGATGCATAAAACCTGATCATCTGCTTCGAAGACCACAGTAACAAATATAAAGAGCTAACCAGTTAAACCATTTATACACGATTAATTTCACAATTTGGTTTGGGATTTGATCAACTTTTTGTCCTCTAAACCATGAACCAAACTGATCCTAATGGTTCCAACATTTTTATAACTGGAACTGAACTGTTGGTGACACATAACTGAACAAAACCAAAAGGTTCTGAATGGGTCATGGTTTAGATGGTTCCTCTGTGCATCCCAAAATTAAGGAAAATAAGTGAAAAGCCTGAAGGAGCTCCTTCCAGACAAAAATTATTACAGTAAAAAGAAGGAATATAAAATAACAAATGCATCCGGAATGATTTTTAACTTTTATTAAGCTTGGCAGACCTAAGAAATCATTTTTATTAAGTTTAGTAGACCAGAGAAAATGAATCATCAGCACCATTACCCCTAAGCAAGGCAATCCAATTCTAAGGCTTCAAATCTCAGGATCTAAAAAACTCACTTCACTACTGGAAAGCAAGTCAATTATATCTTTTAATCAAAGGATACTTCCTTGATGCAAGCTGGATTTGAATCAAATTTAGGGGAGAGTTGGGCAATATACCCGTGAGGTTGAGAAAGCTGAGAAAATGAAAATTGAGAGAAGCAACTATATTCTTGCCAATCAAGATTCTCGTAATTAAGTGAAAAAAACACATTTCATCATAGGATTCAGGATTGCTAAAATACTTTCCATGCACAGAGCAACTTGTTTATGATACGGGCCTTATACTGAACTGTAAGCATAGAATTTTTTTCGCCAGAGATCACCCGACCAGTTTGAATAATGCAAGATATAAAGCCCTTTATTCTACCCAAGGCATACTACAACTAGTCACCACGCTTTTGCTTCCTACTTTTCCGTGTCACTGGATTTCCCATCAACCCAGTAAATGAAGGAATGAAATATAGATATCAACAGAGATTTGAGGGTCCAAAAGCAATTTACTTAATAAAGATGTTGATATAGGTATTAATTCGATAATAATGCAAAACAAGCAAGCATAGGATGCAAAAAATTCCCATTAGATTCAAAGAGCATCAAGCATCATAATACCACAATATTTAACCATCTAAATATCTTATAATATTCACACATTACCCAGTCACATGTAAAAGACAACACGACCAGATCAGTACCCATGAAATTCTTAGGGGAATTGAAACTATCGTCCCTACCTCAACCAGGTTAGGAGAGCTTCCAGTGAATAAAAAAAATCCAGTTGACATGCTATCTGATATATAGTTTATTTGTTTTAAGTATGCACTAAATAGGCAGGACAAATAGGAAAAATTGAGAGCGCAACAAAAGTCAGTATCTCATCATCTACTGAATCGGATATATGCCATAATTTATCCAAAACATGCAAAGAATAGAGATTGCACTTTCTAGACTAGATTTAGAACCATGGGTAGGTAATGGACATTCAATTAGATGAACCACTCACTCAGAATCTAAGAGACTTGCGTTTCCAAGCAGTTGAAAATCAAAGACCAGTGTAAAATCATTTTAGAATCCACTATTAAAAAGAAAATTGTTCACAGGATAGAAGTAATAATAATAATAGCAAAGGCAATTGATGGACCTACTATGTTATCACTTATCAGTATGGCCACAGCCTCAGACTTGCTCAGAATCTCAATGACCTCACCATTATCCCAATCATCCAATTAACTTTCAAAATTGTGTTACAATTTACAACCCTGACTCATAATATAATAAGCAATGAGAAAATCAACCCCAATGAATAAGGAAGACCCATCAGATCTTCAAAAAACTGTTCCAAAACTCTAATGAAGGAGTTATATTAGATTGGATAATCACCGGTATAAAGAACAGAAGCGCATATGTTTGACTGCATTTGAATTCCAATTAAAGAAAAAAGGTGAGCAGTTGAATGTACACCAAACTGCTTCTTTGTACCTTGTAATCAGAGCTGGCGGCAATTAGGATACCTTCATTAAGTTAAACAACATTATAAGGGCCTTGGCAACCAACCCTTTGGGTTACAACTCTATGAGGCACGTATAGGTTGCAGCATCAATGTAAAGGAAAGTCCTAAATAAATCTGAACCTAGGATTTTCTTATCAAGGACAATTTAGCTCAGCCCCGTCTGAAGCATTGAGAACCAGTCCTACAAGCTGTTTACGGTCCCAAACCATTTCTTGTCTGACCTCACAAAGGAACACGAATTCAAATGAGGATATTAAGATTTTCCCTTTTAAGCAACTTAAAAGAGAATAGAGTCCTGTTTGCACTTGATATTCACACACACACACAAATAGATATATCAAAATTGGAACTAACCTGACCATACAAAAGCAAAAAGTATTACGGAAACCAAGTTATCAATTTAACCTTTATAAAAAATAATAATAATAATAAGGCCACAACTCTTTGTCAAATACATTCTTTTAACACCGGCAAATTAATTAAGCAGAATAGAGAAAAGTGAAGTACCTGAAAGTCAACGAATGCAACAGGAGCTCCATATGTACTCTGCATCTTCAGTTTCAAGAATCCAGGATATCTGAGAGGCCAAAACAAACAGAAATATAAGTCCCAAGTCCTATGAACTTCAAAAAATAGGAAAAAACAATAAAGTAGTCTCCAAACCTTGAAAATACTTGAATTAGCTCTTCCTCTGTACAAGTAGGCCCTAGACTAGCAACAAATAGTGTCGGACATGGGGTAGCATTGTGCGCAATATGAGCTGCTGCAGTGTTCTGTTAATGCATGGAAAAGTCCTCAAAAATATGCAAATATGATAGTAAAAATTCAAGTGTGCATTAAATACCATTTAAATAGGGAGATATCGTTATCCAAATATAAAAGGATGATAAGAAAATCAAGGAAACAATGAAACAATGAAAAATTATGCTACAACTAAATGTCATTCGAAGTAGCCTTGGGATGTAATCTTTTATGTTGTCTGGAATCAATCTTTAAAGTAACCTTTGGATGCACAGAATTGGTTTAACAAGGGAGCAAGGAAGAAGAATATCTTCCACGTCAACCAAATTGCACCTCAAGTCTTACAGAATTTGGAGGTAGAAACCATCAATGAAACCAGTATACTGTCTCCATGAGTTTGATGGGTACTATTATCTAAACTTCCTAGTTCCTAAGGACCCCTTGAGTAAATGCATGGAAGCATTGATTTGGTCACTATGTCATGGGGATAGAGAATTGAACTATCTTCAAATTAATCAGTGTGAATCAGATCTATTTCACACAAGTACTGGGGTTGTATTGTCCTTGTTAGAATGACAAAGAGGTCAACTACTTCTAAAAAATGGCAAAAACATCTCGTCATAGAAAACACAGATTATCAAGAACATCAATATCTAAAATACATTGACTAGAAGTAGTATTATAACACTGAAGGGGGTAGCTTTTCAGTGCATGTTAAGTGTACTTCTGATTTCAAGCAAGTAATTTTTTCACAAGGAAAATAAATTAAAAAAGGTGAATTACCCTAACCCCCTTTGAAGTTTCAAGTAATCACCCTCTGATGAATTTTTTGGAAAAATCACTTTGATACCCCTATTAATAACATAAGACTGACTAGTTGTAATTGGAAAATCCCTTTGCTAACATTAATATCATTGTAAACTGTTTTCCTGATGTAATAATAAGGTGATGCGGGATAACTAATTTGCCTTTTCTTCTTTCTTATTTCTTTCTAACACCCTTTTCTTTCTTTAAAATCTCTGAGACATCTGATATTTTGCCTCTCCTTCAACCCCTCATCATTGTCCCAACAACCACTGCAAAGAAAACCTCTGCCATCCTCCATGTTCCCTCTCTGGAAATCCACCTCTAAAACACTCTTCCTCAATCCCTTATCTCTGTCTCTCTTCCAAAATACTATAATCAAAGGAAGAGACGCCTGATTGTGATGAGCTCATGCTACATGTGAAAGAAAGATGAAGAGTCGTGCATAGTCCGGTGACCACATCTGATATTTTGCCTCTCCTTCAACCCCTCATCATTGTCCCAACAACCACTGTGAAGAAAACCTCTGCCATCCTCCATGATCCCTCTCTGGAAATCCACCTCTAAAACACTATTCCTCAATCCCTTATCTCTGTCTCTCTTCCAAAATACTATAATCAAAGGAAGAGACGCCTGATTGTGATGAGCTCATGCTACATGTGAAAGAAAGATGAAGAGTCGTGCATAGTCCGGTGACTTGGGATGTATGGTCCATGTTTTTTACCATATTCGGTGTTTATTGGGTTATTCCAGATTCCACAGAAGGCAAGCTCAAGGTTTGGTGTGGTTGTATAGCAGGTTTGAAAGTCCGAGATGCTTGGAGGTCCACACCTCTTGTGTGTGGTGGGGATTGTGGTGTGAACACAATAGAAGATCTTTTGATGGAGTGGAGACTTCTATTTGGATGCTAAAGCATTCCACATTAAGTTCTTTATTCTTTTGGGTTCGACCATTCGGGAGAGAAATTGTAAATCTTTGGAGGAAGTTATCTTTTGTGGATAGGTTGAGAGGCTAGTGAACCTTGGTAGGCTTGTGTAGTTGTTATTTGGGTGTGCACCCTAGTTGAGCACCTTTTTAGTGAGTTTAAAATAAAATAAAATAAAATACAACACAGATAACTAATAATTTATAAATCAAGCACAAGATCATCTCCCAACTAAACCCCGACACTGCTCTCATCTGCACCACCTCCCTTCTCAAACTCCTCAGTGTCACCGCCCCGCCCTCTTTCTCTCTCAGACTATCTGTGGGTGATCACACCACTACCTTCTCATTCTCATCTTGTAAAGACAGACAAAAAGAGCAGCATCCATGGCTCCCAAAATATTCAACCATATTGTATGAAATTGAAGAAAGACTGGAAAATGAATTTGATCGCAAAACATCCATCTCTTTTTGGCAACATAAAACCCAAGCGCATTACCCACCATTTAAACATTAACCCATCTCTATTGAACCATCATTTCGTTCAATGAGGATTCAATCTGTTCAGTTTCAAATCCTGATGGCATCAAAAATCAGGGTTTCCCATCTTGGGAACAATGACAACAATCTCGATAGATGCATTAAATCATTAATTATCCCATGGCATTCAAACAATAATACAACTTCCAAAAGAAAATTCATTTGTAATTAAAACCGGCACAAACACCCTTACCACCATGTCCTCCCCCTCAACAACCTATTAAACACCACCAACAGCGAGAATTCACCAAGAAAATTCAAATTATCAAGCGGGTTCCACCACTGACAATTCTCTATCTAAACCTTCTCTTCGCTTTCTTTTTCCTTTACCACAGACCCATCATCACAGTCCATTTTGCCACTGCGGTCCATTATTTCTCTCTTTTTGGACCCTCATCTTTTCTCTCTCACTTCCTGTCTCTTTTTTTTTTTTTTTTTGACAAGTCTCTCTCACTTCTTGTCTCTTAGAGCAACTCCACCAGCATCTCTAAAATTAGGCTCTCTGAATTTGCCACGTCAGCATTTTCCAAGCACCATGTCAACATTTTGGAGTCTCCAAATTTTAGCCATCGCATGTACTCCAATGGTGCATTTTCGCTCTTCAAAAATATTAATATTTTTTTAATTTTTAATAAATTTCTTTTTTTAACTTTTCCTAGCGGCTATATTTCTGATGACTATATCATAGCATGTCTAACAGTATACATTTTCAGCGATTTTGGACCTTTTTGGCCAACCAGCCTACTCCAATGTGGGTCGCCAAAAGTGGGCCAGGTTTTTTGGATTAGGGAATGGGTCGCCAAAAACGGAAACCGTATGGCGATCGCGGCCTGCCACACACGGGCCCGCTTGTTTTTTTTTTTTACTTTTGTGGCCCAAAACACTGTAGCCCATAAACCACTTTAAGGGCGTGTTTGGCTGGGAAAAATTTTCAAAAAACCAATTTTTTTTTTTTTTTTCCCTTTTTTAGCTTTTGTTTTTTTCTTTTTTTTTCCCTCAACAAAATTGAACCAAAGAGCCGTTAAGACACTGCCTTATAGGCTTTTTTGGGCAAAAAAAAGTTTTTAAAAAATGGAGAAAAGTGATTTTTTTCCTTTTGTAAATTTTCAATGTTCCTATCGACATTATAGCCGTTTTAGGCACTGTTTGGCACCCAAACAGTGCCTTAACGGCTATATTGGCACGAAAGCATATTTTTAATTTTTTAATTTTTATTTATTTATTATATATATATAGATATTTTAAAAAACCTTTCATTTTTCCTCTATAAGTACATCAACCCCTACTATCATTTAACCCATCTATACTCTCTACCCTTTCAACCTACAACTATAACCACCAAGTCATGTTCTCAATCTTTTATTTATATTTTTAATACTCAAGTTCAATTCCATGGATCCTCCACCACCATATTACAACTACAACTCTCATCAGTTAAACCAATCAAATGATAATTTTTATCCCTTTTTACAATTTGTTAGAGAAGAACCTCAATTTCCGTCTCATCAACCTTCTCAGTTTTCCAACATTCTTACTAAAATGCCACAATCCAGCAACTCCCAACCTCCTAGAAAGCAAAGGGTTAGTTGGTCTCCTAATTGGTCCACAGCTGGAGATGAGACTTTATGTTATGCGTGGATGGCCATTAGCTCTGATGCAGTCATCGATTTAGACAAACAAAAGATAGCGTTATGGAGCCAAATTCATAAAAGTTTTGAGCAACATATTAGTGGTGCTGGTACACCTAAAAGAGTTAGTAACGCCTAAAAGAATTGAGAAATGGACAAAAAAGCCTTTAAGGAACTGCTTGTGTCAGCCAAACAGTGCCTTAACGGCTCTTTGGTTCAATAATGTTGAGGACAAAAAAAAAAAAAAAAAGAAAGCAAAAACACTGATTTTTGGAATTTTTTTCCGAGCCCAACACGCCCTTAAAGTGGTTACTGGGCTACATTATTTTGGGCCACAAAAGTTATATATATAAAAAAATAAAAAGCATGAAGACCCGCGCGTGGAAGGCCCGCAATCGCCATATGGGTCGCCCTTTTTGGCGACCTATTCTTCGATCCAAAAAACCTGGTCCACTTTTGGCAACCCGCATTGGAGTAGACTGTGTCGCTAAAAAGGCCCAAAATCGCCGAAAATGTATATCGTTGGACATATAAAGGAAGGAAATATTAGAGAGTGTAGGGGGATGGTGGTGGATTGGGATTGGGGGATGGTGGTAGCAGCATGCGGTGGGGGTAGTGAAATATATCTGTAATATATATAGTATAATATTTATATCATATACAAATATAATATATAAATATATTAAATTTCCAATTCTATATTACCATAGAGAAAAAATTATACATATATATATATATATAGAGAGAGAGAGAGGGGGGGGGGGGGTGGCGAAGGAGGGAGACGGTGATTATGGGGGTATGAGAGGGAGACGAGAGAGAAAAGGAGAGGAGAAAATCGTCATTCAGAGTAGTGTGTATGTTTACTTTTTTTATTTCACTAAACATAACAGCATTGTTGACATTTTACAAAAGATTCTTTAAAAGACCTGATGGTCCCTTAATAGAGTGGGGGTATCTTTACTTCCACATAAACAACAAGAGGCTGACATACCACATTTTTTCCTGAAAGTTTCATAAGATAGTGATTACTTGAAACCTCAGGGGAGGTCAAAGTGATTTACCCATAAAAAAAACTTATATATAAGTCATTCCCCAAAAGTTCTAACGAATGGTTCAACCTTCGTGGTTCCTTCTCAGTTATATTTCAGAAAAGAGAATAAAACGAGGAGTAAGCAGAAGCTGAGTAAACACTAAGGCTTCCTCTCACAATCAAATTACAGAAATACTGAACAAAAATTTAGAACTCTTCGAGAACATTCAATTATGGATTCAAGAAACCTCTAACCTTTCAAATATCAAGTGATAATCCGCATAGATAGATCAACAAACATTACAGGTGCCGGAGCTTTACTTCTCATTTTAAATGAAGATTACAAAGCTATTCATATTGAATTTGTCATGCAGCACTATCAGACAGCTGGCCCTGAACCCTTTATTTAGCTAAACTTGCTAGCCTATACTCGTCCCATAACTCAGAAACAAAACTTTTAGTAATAATCAAAAGGTTCAGAACCTTTCTTATATCACAGGGAACATTTTCTCAACCTGTTATAATCTACCAATAGTTTCACCTTCAAAAATCAAAGTGATCTAAAACATCTCCACAAAAATTCAAGCTATGATGTTCAGTTTGTCAGGGAATTCTCATCACCGTTGAATTGAATTCCTGGACGGAAGTTTCGGCTCATTCAATAAAAGGACAATATCTAGACAAATCCTACTAAACCGGACATTTAAAAAATTCTATTACCCTTCCTCTTCTGAATGAAACCCATTTTAAGCTTTTCAACAATTCTCTTTTCATCTTACTTCTCAACAGTATGGGCTCACTTCCCTTGATTTTTTTCAATGTTTATAACTACATGGTTTTTTTTCCCCCTTATAAGTGATCATAGTTAGAAGTACACTATACTTCACCAGAAATATATTTAGTGAAGGAGTAGAACAGCAAATTAAAAGTTAACCAAACTCAAAAACTATTAGTTGCAATTTTTTTGATAAGTGAAGAAACCCATTAAGGGTGCAATCCATGTAAATACAAGGTATACAACCTCCACAAAAAGTCAAGGGCAGAAACTCATATCTCCCAAGAACTATAAGAGCATCAACAGTGTCTTCCTTTTCATGACAGTCAAATAAATTTTAAAAGATCTAAATTTGGTTTTGCAAAAAGCTAATTTTAAAATGAATAAAAAGATTCTAATGCTGGAAGATGAAAATAAATGAAAAATTGAAATGCCTCTCGGTCGAAAAGAGAGATATACTTTTGAAGAAAGCAGAAATTTAAGGAATGATGATTTACAACTTAGCAAAAGCAATAATAATAATGATGATCGTACTTGAAAAATTGACTCATACAATTTCTTACCAGAATCAGAATGAAAAGGTTTAAATAATTTATAGGAACTGAACTGACTTGGAAGATAGAAATAAATTGAAAAGTAACTTACTGATTTTGCAGGGGTTGTTTCATTTATAGCTCTACCATCAAAGTTTCCAGGACTGAATAATGAGCAAGAAAATAAAAAAATTAGATGAGTTTCAAAGAAGAGGTATCTTATGTAGCAGATAATGTACTCCAACTTCAGGGAATTGGGCATGCAGTAACTGCTTTAACTAGGCCACGGACCTTTCAGCTAGATGCAATCATTGCAAGTAAAAATAATGTGCTGGTTCAGATAGAAGTAATCAGTTCCAATTAATAAAAATGTGCTTAAGTAGTGCAGATGACCTTTGTGTAGGTGGATAACCAATCATGTTGAAAGCAGAATTACCCATTCCAGGCATGTGAACGCTGCCAACACCTGTTAGTGCCCAAGCGTGCAAAACATGTGCTATGTGAGCTTTTGGAATAATGTGTTCTGCATGTGACTAACTAACTAGTATCCCAAGTAAGAGATCAGAAAAGAACCAGGTGGTGTTAGGAAAGTTTAGCAATCGCAGAGAGAGAGAGAGGTAAGAAGAAAGAAATTAAATCTACTCCGCATAAAATAATCCAGAATTTTTTTTTTTTATTGAAAAAATATATATACTATACAGAAAGAGCTTCTGATGGGAACGCCACATCTTACCCGCATCAGCACCACCCCATGAAAATGCAGCAGGTCCTTTAAATCTCTTGTCTGAACCAGGTCTTTCATCCTCTGATTTTTTTATGATCCACAAGTCCACAGAATTCAGTTTCCGAACAGTTAGCATGAAACAGAAGAAAGGTTAAAAATAAAAAATATAACTTGCAATTTTACCTGTTCTTGAGCGCTTAGATCTGGAATTAGATTTTGCAAGATCAATATATAAGGTCGACCCCTTCTCAAGGTCAAACACCATGCCCTGCAAACAAGATTTCAAACCAAGAGCTCTCAGTATGGCGCTTATCAGTGTTGTTAAAGGCGCGCCTAGGCTCGAGGCTCAGGTTTAGCGCCTGTTGTCATCCCAGGCTCACTGATGTTTACTAGGCGCGCGCCTCGGTTGCGCCTCGTCCTGTTTGTGAGGTGCGCCTAAGCGCACCTCACTAATATTTGTTTTAAAAAATACGATTGTTCTATTTCTTAAGCCAAAAAGGGTACTTTTGGCAACTTAATAAACAAAAAAGAAAGCTCAATCATACGATATAAGGAACTTTTGTTCAAAAGAATAAAAAAAAAATAAGAAAGCCCAAGAGTCAAAGTGTTAACCGAACAACGATAGAATGAGATTGTGAGACAAAGACGAAGCCCCAGTTGCAAAGATGAACGACACATTTTGCTTTGCCTTTCAAGAAAACAAATTTGTTCTCTGTTTTATGGTTGTTGGATGCTTGTATAGTTGATGGATTTACTTTTTTATATTTGATATTAATTTTTAGAATATTAATATGACTTATGAGATATGAATGTTACTATGGTAGTTTAAATTTTCAATTGTACGCCTCACTTCACTCAAGCGCGCGACTCGCCGTGCGCCTTGCGCCTAGGCTCCAAAGGACCTCAAGCGCCTTGGGGCGCCTTGGGCCTTTAATAACTATGGCGCTTATGGTCCTTGTATAGTACATGGAAAAGTGTACTGCTTTTAAATTAGAAGAGCTTTTACGTTTGCAAGCATTGTCAGCAAGAACATGAAGCACACAAATCTATATACAGCAGACTCCAAAATATTATCAAAGATTATCCATTAAGTAATACAATTTCAAATCAATATACAAACAACTAATGGCAAGATGTTCTTACATTCAGTGCATTCACCAAGTTTTCTGATTTTCCAAAAATTTCAAATCAATATACAAGTTTTCTGCGCATACAATTTCAAATCAATATACAAACAACTAATGGCAAGATGTTCTTACATTCAGTGCATTCAATGCTGCAACTGCTGACTGTTGGTCCATGAAGACAGCAAAAGCAAATGGCTGTGAACAACCCAAGAGCAATGTAGAGATCAGTAACCTCATTGAGAGAAATGGGAACTATATATGCAAGACTAGCTTCACAAATTTGTAGAGAGATGTGAATAGAAGTGTTTGCCAAACCATGATGAATATTGATACAGCTAAGTTTCACTAATATTTCCTCATCTTAAACCAAAAACAATACGCAAATAAAATTGACAACAAATGCGCAACTTAATTAAATAGAATTGAGGTGGTAATATTCTTGCAGATGAAGAAGCAAATATACTTTATATATAGAAGTCTCCGCGAACCAACACTAAACCATTATTTTTTTTTTTTTGTTTTTTTGACATAAGTAAATAGAGAAATGAAAGAAAGAGATGTAATGGCGTTTGGAGGCGGGTTTATGACGAAGGCTAAATGGGTAGTAGGCGAAAGGAAGTTTGGTCAAGACCAAAGACCACTTTCACAACTACAAACCCAGTTAAAAGCACAAAACCCGTACTATGATGCCATCATTTCCCGAGAAAGTAGTGAGAAAATTTTGCTGTGTAGGGCTTGAAGTAGCGGGGCACCAGTAGAGAACCTACAAGTTTTTCCAGAGCCACAAATATGCTAATGCATACAACTCTCCCCCTATTTGCATCAAGCCTTTTTCATTACTTCAATTCAACTTTTATTGTTTAAGCTCAAAATCACATTCTGTGTTTGTGTGTGTGTGAGAGAGAGAGTGAGAGTGCGAGACCCTAACCTAATATCTTTGGTATGGTTAAATCTGGACTTGTAATTGTTTTGTCCTATACATTTGGGCTAATACCAGTAAATAAGATAGAGGCCAAGGCAGCATTAAGCTATAAAAAGGGGTACATGACTAATACAGTAAAATTAAGTCGAATCAAATTTAGTGGTTGAACAAACCATAAAAACTGCATTGTATCAAACAAAGTGTTAGAAAAAGGTCATAATCTGTCAGCATTTAAATTCCTAATTTAATTCTCTTAACCATTTTCTGAAGTATGGAACTTTTAGGATCTCAAAAAATGGGTTTCTTTCAGTACTTCCTTGTCTAATGTGGTTAGGTCCCTATTTACTATAGCCATGCCAAAGAGTGGAGTGTTAGGTTAATATTTGTATGTTGGTGAATTCCGTTCCAAAGTTAACTTTTTTTGCTAGGGTATGTGAACAAATGTAAAGCGAGTCGTGTTGCCTGTTGGTCATAAGTCCTTGTCAATGGAGTTCAAGCACAAAGTGAGGATTGAAAATTGGGGATTGAAGCTACATTGGATTATCTTGACAATGTGCTTCATGAGGTTCAATTACACTTGGGAAAAGGTAAATGAGCCTTTAGAGAAAGACTCACATAGTTTAGAGCAACTTTTACCTAGGCTTCAATTATGGATAAAATTCAAATATTGAACTTAGATGATTTGGATAATTTCAAAAAGGTTACAGCTTTGGATTGTGAAGAAAATAAAATTCAAAATCCAAGCTCAAACCCTAGCTAATTTGGTTTGCAAACGAAACACCTACTGTAACCAAAAAATACCCAAATTTTCAATGTTCAATTTCGACATATCATCATGGTTATCAATAAGATTCAATATTTATTTGATATCAATTGGCAGCACTGAACAAGCCCACAAGCCCTTGAATCAAAACCGAAATCCAACCCAATTCATTTGCATCTAGGGAAATTTAAAGCTAAATACATGAAATTAAACACAACAATTGAACATGACTTTGACCACTTCAAAAATTTTAACAAACACAGCACATGGAATGGGGTTATAAGTACCTGTGAAGTAGAGGTAGCGGTTCGGAGGTGAGATGATTCGTAACCTGGGAACTCCCGAAAGAGATTGTAGATTTCTCGTTGCTTGACGTCTTCGGGAAGCCCAGCGACGAATAGGGTTCGGACATCGTTGTACGAAGGTTGCGGATAGTACGCAAGCGGCTGGTGAGGGTGGTACTGAAGAGGTTGAGGCACCGCCTGAGGCTGTGGTTGCGCTGCCCCAAGCGGTGGCTGATTAGGAGGTGGTGGGTAGTACGGGTAGTGGAGGCCCGCCGGAGGAGGGTAGTAGGCTGCCATGTCGTCCATTGGAAGCCAATACTCGATCAGTGTCGAAATCGAGCCCTAACATTTTGCCTCCTTTATGAAAAACATTCTGGGCCTGTTTCCACAAACCCAGGCCCATGCTAAAAGCCGATAAGGCCTGAAGTACCACTAGCCCGGCCTTAATAATTGGCTGTGTCAGTTGGTCTTCTTTGTTGTTTATGAGAGGGGTTTGAGTTGTGACACTTAAACCGAATTGTTGGAGTGAATTGTGAGATTGAATCATTTTGTTCGGTCATGTTTGTAACATATAACGAAAGGTAAAGATCTTAGGAAATATAAGTTTGGTGAGAGTTAGGCTTGATTGTAAAGTAATTCATGTTACATGTGATTTAAAAGTTGAAGTCTAAGACTCTAAAATGAATTTAGCATCAAATGGACTGTTCACATATACCATGGTCCTTATAATGATTGACTTAAGCCTATGACTCAGATGAGTTAAACTATATGGGTAAAATAGTCATTAAACATGCTGAAAGTCACTTTGAACCTAAAAATATTAAAATTCAAAGTTACAAGTGACTAACACGATTGACTCTAGACCAATTTCTCCTTTTAATAGGAGTTCTTCCTTTTCCATAGGAGCTTTCTCTGCTTGTCAGAGTAGATTGATTGGTGGTAGCCTTCTTTTTTCCTTCTCTTTTCTTGATCAATTTGGTGTTAGTTGTTCTTTATTCTCTCGTTTTTTTTATTTTCTGTGTGTCCCTTGTGCGTTTCGGATAACCATGACCTCTATGTCTACCGCCTGGTTATTGGGAACTTTCTTATCTTCTTGCAGATATGGTGGAGTGTTCAACCGTTGTTTGCTATTCGTTGTTCTGTCCCTTGGACTATCTACATATTGGGTTTTTCTTGGTTAGTTGGTTTTGGGGGTTTTTGGTTTATTTTGTTCCCGTTCTGCTTCTTCTGGTGGTTCAGCGATATGGTTGGGTGGCTGTTGGTGTTGCTTCTGGTCGGTCTTTTTTGGGGGGTCTCATTTATAGCGTGTTGATGGAGGGTTTCCTGCGTGTTGTGCGGTGGCTTCTTATTTCATTGGTGGGTTGTTTACGGCGTCGTTTACGGCAGTGGGTGATGATCAGTTTTCTTCAATTAAAGGTCTCCTCTGGTCGACATGTTTCCGGTCGATGGGGCTATCTGTTCTGTTTTTGGTTTGGATGATGTTTAGGGTACGAGGAATGGCGTCGTATTCCTTTGCTGGGATGGGGTTGAGGTCATAGATGTGTATTGCCAAAGATTTCTCATGGTCATTGGTGGGCCATGGCCATTTATACCCTCGAGCCCAGTGTTTGACGTTAATCCTTATCCTACTTCTCGTTTTCCGTTTCTCAAGGGCAGTTTTCAAGGTTTATTTGTTTTGTGTAGTTGGGGTGATGCAAAGTATCCCATACGTTTATGTCACTGATGTCATTACTTAGTTATTGCATTGGGTTATGTGGCTCCTTGATTTACCTCATCTTAAGTCGTCTTATATTGACTGGGAGCAAGAACAATAAGTTTTGGTGGTCCCAGTAGTTGGTGTAACGACCCACTCCACCACATAGTATGATATTGTCCGCACTGGCGAGCTACAGGTGCACAGTCCCACATCGCCTAGGTAGAGGAAAGGTGAAATGTTTATATATAAGTGTGTCATCTCCAATTGGTATGAGGCCTTTTGGGGTGAAGCCTAAGAGCAAAACCATGCGGGCTCAAGTCCAAAGCGGACAATATCATACCATGTGGTGGAGTGGGTCGTTACAAATGGTATCAAAGCCTGACCCAGCCGGAAGTGTGCCGACGAGAACGTCGGGTCTCTAGGGGGGTGGATTGTGATGACCTTGTGGGCGGGTGTGTTGTGGGTGGGTGCGAAAGACACTGTCAAGCTACCACACTGGCGAGCTACCGGTGCACAATCCCACATCGCCTGGGTAGAGGAAAGGTGAAGTGCTTATATGTAAGTGTGTCATCTCCAATTGGTATGAGGCCTTTTGGGGTGAAGCTCAAGAGCAAAACCGTGCGGGCTCAGGCCCAAAGCGGACAATATCATACCATGTGGTGAAGTGGGCCATTACAAATGGTATCAGAGCCTGACCCAGCCAGAAGTGTGCCGACGAGGACGTCGGGCCTCCAAGGGGGGTGGATTGTGATGACCTTGTGGGCGGGTGTGTCGTGGGTGGGTGCGAGAGACACTGTCAGGCTACCACACTGGCGAGCTACGGGTGCATAGTCCCACATCGCCTGGGTAGAGGAAAGGTGAAGTGCTTATATGTAAGTGTGTCATCTCTAATTGGTATGAGACCTTTTGGGGTGAAGCCCAAAAATAAAATTATGCGGGCTCTGTCCCAAAAAGGACAATATTATACCATGTGGTGGAGTGGGTCATTACAGTTGGTAAGCAAATTGCACACCTTTTAAGCTTAGGTTTAATCACGACTTGCGTTGTTGGTGGGATTGGGTCAGCCTAGTGCTCCAAACACCTTTTAAGCTTTAGGTTGTTATCACGACTGTTGTCGTGTCCTAGCTTAGTGTTGGGTTTATCTGTGGTTGGTTATATTGTCAGTTTTTGTGGTTCCTTGTTGTATGGATGTGTATCTGATGTTTGATGTAAGTGTCGTTTGGCGGTTCTTTTGCCAGGGTAAAAAAAATAATAATAATAAGTGACTAGCATGTCTACATGTGTAGTAGACGTCTTCATGGCCGCCTATTAGAAAAATGAACATAATGGCAAAGAAGTTAGAGACGTCTATGCCTTTATATTTCGGCCATAAATTACAAGTGAGAAGTTAGAAAAAAATAATAATAATAATAATAAATCTATACAAACGTCTATATGTTTGTATATAGAAGTTTATGCGCTTAAATATGCATATTCAACATTTATACATTATAGATGACGTACATGCCTTCGTGATTCAAGATTTAACCGAGAAGGAATTTTCTGAGCTCAACCCTAAATATGTCTACCTAAAAGGTTACATACGTCTCATAATAAAGTAAAAAAGTTCATAAATATCTATATGGATTTAGACAAACGTTAAGGGCCTGTTTACTAACGTTTTTACTTTCTTACTTTCGCTTTCTCGAAAAGTAAAATCATGATTTTGATTTCTTTGAGATGAAATAGAAAGTAAAATTATGTTTAGTAAATTGCGAGCTACTTTTGAAATTTGAAAGCAAAACACAAAAAGTGTGTTTAGTAAACTACTGTCTACTTTTGAAATTTAAAAGCAAAACACAAAAAGTGTGTTTAGTAAAAAATAATAAATTTCTGTTTTTGCTTTTGGTTCTTGAATTGCTTTTGGTTCTGATTTTGTTAAGATGCAAAATCAATATGTATAAAGAGAGAAATGGTTTGAAGTAGGCAATACACTCTAATCCATAATGTAATATTGATTGAACTTTTATATGCAGGAAATTACTGGAGTTTTCATGAAAAATTGCATGTTACACTATGCAGCCTACAGGATTATATACCTATTATGGGCTTTGGCAGAATTCCGAAAACGGGTTCCATTGTAATCAAAGAGTTGTAGCTACATAACTAATGCCTAATTAGATTGAATTCATGTAATAAAGAAATATTATGTATAATTAATTGTTATAGTAGTAGTAGTGTGTGATATTAATGTATCCCATCTCTGTTAGTCAATACCAATTTGTTCATGTAAATCTATTATATGTGGGGAAAGGCTCAAATGCTTTTAAGTAATGAGGCATTTCCCCTATAATAAAGTTGAAATAAGCCTGGGCAGATTATATTAGTATAGTAACAAGTGAAACACAACTCTAATTTTTCGGCCCAGCATACACATAATAGATCAGAATCATGCAGATTATAACATGAATTCAAATGGCATTTAGATACCAAATTAATCCAAATAAAAGCGACAGTATTGCAATATCCAAATAGAAAATTAATCCAAAGTGACAATATTACAATATCCAAATAGAAAAATAAAAAAATAATCCTAATAAAAGTGACAATATTATAATAAGCAAATAGAAGTGATTCATCTATCACGATAGCTGTTTCACAACTCATTTGCAACTGCATCACGGGTTTCACTTATCTCTTGAATTAGCTCATGTGTAACATTTACTCTCTGAGAAGTACCACCTAGCTCCACTTTTTCTTCTTCTTCTTCTTGAAGATTGGCATTCTCATCCCCATATTCATCAAAAAGATGATCTAAATGGGCTTCATCACGAAAAAAAATTATGTAATGCGCAACAAGCAATAACGATGCGTGCTTGTACACTCAGTTTGTAAGGAGGCATCAACTTAAGGATTGTCCAATGCATTTTTAATATACCAAAACAACGTTCTATCACATTTCTCAGTGACGAATGCCTATAGTTGAATAGTTCATGAGGACCCCTTATTCGTCTCCCCCTGTATTCCTGTAAATGATATCTTTCGCCACGATAAGGTGCTAAGAAGTACCTCATATTGGTGTACCCAGAATCCACAAGATAATACTTACCTGCATAAACAAAAAAATAATTAATTTTTTTCTAATTTAATATGATATCTTAAACATATGATATCTTAATTTAATACCTTTGGGTGGTAACGAAAAATTCATTGTAGGATCAAAAATAGTTTCCAATAATACTCTTGAGTCATTCGCAGAGCCTTCCCAACCTGCCACCACATATGTAAATTTCATGTCGAAAGAACAAATAACAATTACATTTTGTGTTGTGTCTGATTTTCTTCCACGATAAGGAATTTGTGAAGATGCTGGGACATTTGCATGGATGTGTGTACCATCAATTGCACCAATGCAATTCTACAACACATTATTTTGTTAGTAAATATAAATTCATAATACCAATTAATTAAGTAAAAATATTTATAAAAAAAAAACTACCTGAAAGAATGGAAAGTATTTCTCATTATGTTGAATCTCCAAGGGTACCTTATTCATATTTGGTGGACATATTATACTCTTCCCTAATTTGCAAACATACTTTAAAACTCTGTGGAAATATTTATACACAGTCCCCATTAAATGTTGATATCTTTCTGCCACCACTCGAGTACTCTCATTGTGTGCTAGAGTATACAAGAACATTGCAACTTGTTCTTGTACGGTTAAGTACCTAGAATCTTCCAAGCCCAATCCCTTTAAACATTCACATAAATTTCTAAATACATGTTTATCTTTCCTAAAGAGTCGATAACACCTAATAGGGTAGCCATTTACCAGTTCAAGTATATAGTTATGGCCTTAAAGCATAGAAATCATACATGGTCTTGGTGGAAGCATATAATGTTCCATGTACTCTATGACCATGTAAATAAATAACAAACGCACCCCCATTTCCTCCTTTTCATCTTCTTCATCATCATCAATTAAAGTAGGCAAACAAAATGGATCCATAATTGTAAACCTGATGCAATGAAACATGAGATGCATAAAATGATAATGCAATCAATAAAAGTTAGGGCAAAAAATAACTTCATCTTCAAATGACACATATAATATCTCATATTAACACAATAAAAAGGACACAAATTAAAGCAAAGAAATGATAAACATTAGCAAAACATTGTCAAAAGGCAAGTGTACTAGTTCTAAATCACAGACATAAGTTTACTAGCTTAAACAAATCCCAAATAGAAATTACAAACACCAAAAGAAAAAACATTGTCTCAAACAAACACAACAATTGCAACCCATCAACACATAATGTTGCAGCCTATCAATCTAGTCCCAGTTGCAGCCTATCAATCTAGTCCCAGTTGCAGCCTTTCAATCCAGTCCCAGTTGCAGCCTTTCAATCCATTCCCGCTTTTTCTCATCACTAAGTTTAACAAATACTCTAGTCTAGAGCGGGTCATCATGAAATTGTTTTAGGGCTTTGAAAAATGTGTCGCCATCAATTGGTCCCATGTCTTCTAAGATTTGCAAGCATTCAGTAATTTTAGCGGAGTCTTGATTAACTTGAGACATACCACTTGAGCTTCCACCCTTGTCTAGTGCCTCTGCCTTTTTCATAAAATATTCGTCATATCCACTCATAACAGAGGAAATTGTCTTTTGAAAGCTCTCTTTAGTTAATCTTGTACGAGCAAGGTCAGCAGACCGACTCATATGACGAGAAGTATCCACTACTTCATTGATCTCATTAGGATTTTTATCTCCCTCATCACTACTAATGCATGGGCTTCTATTTGAAGGGTGAGCATGATTACCAGTTGCATATGTATCACCAAATAAGTTACTAAGCAGATCATAATGTTTGCACCCTTTTTTCTGAAGCCGCTTAGCATGCCTGACTTGCTGCAATTATATATTATTGTTAATTTATATGAAACAATAGATAGTATTACAAATAATATATTCCAACTAACCTTTTCCATCTCCTCCCATTGGGCATCTGTAAGTGTGACTTGACCAGTTACAGGGTCCCATGATGAACCAGGGTTGGATAGAAATTTTTTGTATGTTTTATATCTGTCTCTCAACCTATTGAATTTATTCCTCAATTGTAGGTTCGTATACTTTTCTTTAGTTAACCTTAACATCCCTTCTTCTAAATTTTTCCATCCTTCAATAGAAAATGTAGTGCCTTTCTGATTTCCATTCTTTCTTTCTTCTTCCATCAAAGTTATTAAGATCTCTTCATTTTTTTCACTCCATAAAATTTGAGAACTTTGATCCTCGGCCACATTATCCTCATCCAATAATTGAGCACTTTGATCCATCACTACAACAATTAATACTATGTGAACAATTACTATATACCAAAGTTGCTAACACAACTTAATTAAGTACTTTGATCCATCGCTACAACAATTAACACACTTCTACAACTTATTAGATCAGAATAAAATAAATGAGCAAACAACCTAGCATTCACAATGATTCCACAAGAACATATAATACTGTAAAATAATATAAGGAACAAGATCTTGGGACAAAACAAAAAACACAGCATGCTTTTAAATAAAATGAGCATTAATCTTAAACTGAACCAGCATATCCTTATTCGATTAAAAAAAAAAAAAAACTCTTAATTTAAAAAATTCTGGACTGGGAACAAGTTGTATTCTTGAGCAGCAGTTTGTTTGCCAATTTGGATCTGATTCTCTCTAGTTCCTAATTAGTGCTATTAAACTAAAAGTGCAAGATGCATGTTATATCATATATGCAACAATGATAATCATAAATGTGCTGGGTAATTGAGAGACATCATTTTCAAACTCAAACTGAAATGAGAACTTGAGATGCACAAATTGATGATTTAGTTTATCCTGGGGAATTTTTGCTATATTACAGTAACTAAATTTTTGCTATATTACAGTATCTGAACTCCAAGAATTTATTCCTCAATTGCCAATTGAAAATTCCACTCATAATTAGTCAATTGAAAATTTCAAATACCAATACGAAAGAAAAGCCTCTGTTTTGTCGTGGAAATTATACCCGGCATAAATATAAAACACGAATCTAGGCCAAGCAGCAGGATTATTCACATTCTCCTTTTTACATGGTCAACCAAAAATGGACGAAATTTTAGGCAAAATTTTCAAATTAAAAAAATAGATAAAGAAAGACCAGATGAATTTCATGAAAACATTCAAATGGAAAAAGTTTCAAAAGCCAATCAAATAGAACCAACTATCAGCTTGTGAAGTGTGGCCAAACCAAACTCGGTTTTCCTTTTGAGAGTTACTACTATAGAATCAAATAGAGCCCACGAAATATATAAGAGATCTACTATGCATCACAGATCCAAAATTCACCAAAATTTTACTCCGTATAGCTCTCACCTAAGGGCCGCAGCCCATCAAGCCATTTGCAAAAAGATTCAGGAAAAGAAATTGTAGATTCTAGGGCAAAATCTTCATATACGAGGAGAGAGAGAATCTGAGAGGAGAGGGCGAACTTATAGGTGTTGTTGTTGGTCGGCCGCTGAATCTCCTTTGTCGATCTACGGTCGCAGATAAGGGATGAAGAATCGCCTTGGTAGAAGCAGATCTGAGGGCGAGAGGCTAGGGTTGCGTCGTTAAGATGATGACATAAACGAGGACGGATTTTAGGTTTTAAAGTTAGCGCTACAGTGTTTTTACTTAGTGCTACAATGTCAAAAATAGTTTCTCCGCACAGTACAAAAAGTAGAAAAAGTGAGCTCTCTTTACAAATTTAGAAATTACTTCCTTAAAATGAAAAAGTAAAAGTAATTTAATAAACGTGATTTTACTTTTATTTTTGCTTTTTCAGAATTGACAGTAGAAAGTAGGAATTAATTCCTGTTACTAAACAAGCCCTAAATAAACATCGACTTTCATTATACCAAAATCCAAACACACCTCTAAGTGCTGATTCTTTGAAATCATTTCAGTCAAAGAATTTTTTTTGACTCTTTAAAACTTAGGGTTAATTCACTGACACCCCCTTAGGTTTGGTCAAATATCACATTGAAACACCTTTTGAAAATTACTATCACTTAAGTCCAATTTTACTTTTTCGTCACTGACAATTTTACCCCTAATTTTTTAATACTTTTAATTCCAAAATATTATAAAACTAAAAGGACCAAAATGCCTTAATTAATTACTCTGACATACCATTATGCAATTTCTCCCTCTTGATGTTATGTCTCTGAAGAAACTAGAGAACAACCTGCAAGAGTCCCATTGCGTCACCGTCTCCTTGCGGAGCAGTAGGCTGGTGGTAGTGGAGGGCTTCCGTTGAGTTTGCTTTGCAGAAATAACAGAAATAGTCCAATGGGAGGAGATAACCATTTTGATTCTATGGTGTTAAATATCCCTCGTCTTCTCAATGGAGATTGTGAATTAAAGGGTTAATTAGAACAGATGATAATGATGGTAGGTAATTGTGTTGTGGAGGAGGGGGTTGCTTCGTGGTGAAGGGGCTGGTGCTGTGGGGGATTTTGGGTGAGTTGCTTTATATGAGAGATGATGAACTTTTATGTGTCTCTGCATTTAAGGTGATATATACATATACACATATATATACGAAGATGGTGGATGGTTTGGGTTAGTGTGTCACATTTCGCAATTTTTTATTTTTTCGGTATTTTTTTTAATTTTTCAGACGATTTTATTTTTTGCACCTCGTTTTGTGTGCTACACACCAATTAGCGTGTCATGAAGTGAATTGGGGCATTTCTTTGAGTTTAGGACTTCTAATGACCCGGTCATTTTCCTCCCTTTCCTTTTTCTCAAATTTTACGGATAAATTTTTTTCGTTTAATTTTCTTGCCTGAGTTCTGATTCTCAACGCTTAGTGTTGTCTCGAGTGCTCAGAAATAGTTTTCGAGACTCTTTCATTTGGATTGACAACTTCTTTTAAGAACCGAGTCATTTCCAGATTTTTACTTTTTGGATATTATTCACTTTTCGTCCTTTTTCCCTATTTTATATTTTCCCCGTTTGTCACTTTTTGGCACAACCTCACTTTCTGTGCTCGTAGTTGGTTTTTGACTTCACGTATCTTTATTCTAAGTGGTTTCCACGAAATACGTATCTTTACTTTTACAGAAAAGTACTCTAGTTGCTCCCAGTGTCCATAGGGGTATGGATGTATAGTTTTTCAAAAAAAATTTCTTTTCTTGGGGTGTTTTTCAAAAATATATTTTGAAGATATTTTATTTCAGGGGTTTTTAAGAAAATATTTTGGAAGATATTTTCATTCTAGGTCATTAGTGCAGTTTTCACTTTTTAGAGAGGCCATTGTGCAATTAATGAAAGTTATTACAAAAATGCCTCGTTTTGAGCCTGAATCCTCGTATGGGATTCATTTTTACATTTCGTCGAGTTGAGTGCCTTTAGAATTTCCTTCTAATCGTTTTTCTCCAGTTTCAGGGTTTCTGGCATCGGTTGCCACCAAACTTGTTCGAGGCATATCTCTCTACTCGGGACTCAGTTTTCGACGCCGTTTCTTCGGTTGTTCATATTTTCATATTTTGGTTCTTTTTTGTTCACGGAGGTTTGACGTTTGAGCTCGTCTATTCAAATTTCACTTTTCCGGACCCAGCGGGGCCCTTTCGGGGCACTTTTAGGGTTTTCCTATAAATAGGGGGTTATAAAATTAAAAAGTCATCTTCCCCTCTCTTCATGCACGACCAGAAGCTGCCATGGCAGCCCAAAGGGGGCTGCCACCCTTCTTCTCTCAATTAAACCTTCTTCCCTTTGTTAAAAAGTCATAGTGCCTTTGAGTTTTGTGTTTGTATGGACTACACGCATCTTTTCCCTTTATTAGAACCCATTTTTGGCCAATTTTTGAGTTCGGGTTTAAGGTCAAGTTAGGATTTTGGTAGGTCCTCTTTGGAGTTTAATGTTCACAACGTTGTCCCCGACAAAACCCCAAAGTATTGTCGGATTCGGAGCCGTTTCATTTTGGTGGCTTTTGAGATTTTCATCTCAAATTGAGGTAGGAGATGTCTTAATCTTTTATTTATGTTGTATTGATGATTTTATAAGCTTATGCCACTTGTATGCATGTTTTGTATTAATCCTAGAATTTAATTTAATTATTTTCCTTGTATGGGATTTAATTCTCAAGGATGTGTATAACTTAGAATTAAAGTATAGCATGATAGTAAATTTGGCCATGGTATAGTTGTTGACATATATTAAATTTAGATCATTTGAACAAGAATTGCAACTTTTATTTAATATTTTTCTTTTGTGAAAGATTAATTCACATCGCCGTACCTTGCATGAAATTAACTTGTGATAGGCTATTAAATTAAGTCTTGGCATGCTCTTTAACATATTTTAATTTTGGAGTATTTGGATGAGTATGAGAATCTAGAGATTTTAATTAAATGAATTAATTAAAATCGATTTAAGGGTTCCATTGGCTTAATTGAGTTTTAAACTTGATATTTGAATTGACTAGGACTTGTTTAGTAGCATATATTAATTTGGGACCATTTGAAATTGCTTTAGAAGTTAGAGAAATAATTATCATGATTTAATTAAATTCTACTTTGTTGTTCCATTGGCTTATTTAAGATTTTGAATGGATGTATGTAATGGCCATACAATATTGTTTAACATGTGTTAATTAGGGATCATTTGATTGGGATTTGAAACTTAGAGAAATTAATTAGTTTATTTAATTAATTTCCGTTTCTATAGCGTTAATGATTTAATCATGTGTTTGACATTGGTTATATGTTTAAATCATGATTTTGGACTTGTATTAGATTCATGGGTTTATGATTTCAATGTTGAGATATATTGTTATAGCGTGTAACGAATCGCACACTGAAAATTCGACATTTGTCATGCTTTAGTAGTCGTGGACTTAGAACATGTATTGTATGTGTTTCCAAATTCAGTTGTGCATAGTAGAGAGTTGATTATCTTGTATATACATGTTGATATATACGTTGTTACATAACTTGTTGATTTTGGAAACTTGGAGATGTCGTTGTTTGACTACGGCTAGGACATGGTTCTAGTACGGGGGATTGTCCCTCTACAGTCTAGTGCGTACATAGGGAGGTTACCCATAGGCTAGTAACCCTAAAGTAATTATGGTGTCGGTCTAATCCGGCGTGATATTCAAGTATCCACTTTGTTTGATTTCGCATTTCGTTTCAAGTTGATAACTAGATGATATCGTAACTTATTGTTCTTTAATTGATTTCTCGTTTTGAGTTTCAAGATGTTAACTTAGAGGAATCATACTTTATGCGTTGTATTGGAAGTTTCAATATTGGTTAAAT